TTTTTTTAGTTTAAAGAGTTGTAAACATTCCCCTTACAATTAGAATTTAAAAAATGGTTCCTGTAATTTTATAGTTGGAACACTACTTTCATGGAAAGAATTAGCAATAGTATTAAATCTTAGAATTATTGCCTTTTAAAAAATATGTGCATGTTTTTATTGATTATCTTATTATCTGAATGTGAATTTAAGGCAACACTAAGAACTCTATTATTGGACCATTTTTCTCTTTAACAACATATGTTTGGTGGTAACAACTGCTAAAGGGCAAGGTAAGAGTAGATCTGGCTAAAGGTTGTGTGCCCGTTTGGATTTTCAATGGTTTGCCAGTTATGTTGCCATACTCTGTTTTTGTGTCATTGCTGATTTTTGCATAATGACTTGATCTTTGGAACTTAATCATGTTGATAAATGAGGATTTCGAGTATTGTTGTTGTCCTGTGCCGTTCACTTGGCCGCTATTCAAAGTGACTTTAGAAACAACACATCTATACCTGGCCCCATCCGATTCCATCCTCACCATCTTCCATATACTTTAGTCTGTTATCATAGTCACTGTGCCAATCTTGTTGAGGGTCTTTCTTTCTTGCTGACCCTCCACTTTTCTAAGCATGTTGTCCTTCTCCCACAGCTGGCCCTTCCTAACATGTCCAAGCTTCACTATCTTTGCTTTAAAGGAACATCTGATCATACTTTTGCCAAGAAATGCTTTTGATTTTTTTGGCAGTCCATGGGATAGTCAGAACTCTTTCCCAATACCATAGTTCAAACTCATTGGTTTTTCTTCTGTCACCCTTAGTCATGGTCCAACTTAATTGAGTTGCATAGCAAGTAACTGAGAAGACCATGACTTGGATCTGGTGTTCCTTAGTCTTTAAACTCATGTTCTTGTTCTTCGGAAATTTGGAGAGGTTCCTGACAGCCGATTTTCCCAGTGCAAATCAAAGGTGTTGATTGTGGATCCAAGTAGGATGAAATAGTTGACCACTTCTATTTTGATGTTGCCTATTGACCCATTGGTGAGTTTTCTTGATGTTGAGATATAATCCATATTGAAAGCTACAGGCCTTCTGCAGCAAGTGCTTCAAGTCCTCCTCACTTTAAGCAAGCAAGATTATGTCATCTACATAATAGATTGTTAATGTAACTTCTTCCAATTCCAGCGTCACATCCTATTTTATAAAGGCCAGCTTCTCTTATGATTTGTTCACATTCATATTGTATAGATATGGATAAAGAATACAATACTTGTACATATTTCTTAATTTTAAACCATGCAGTGTTCCCTTGCTCTGTTCAGACAAGTGTCTCTTGTTCTAAGTATAGGTTTCACATTTAGCACAGTTTTCTGGGATTCCCATTCTTCTCAATGTTAACCATAATTTGTTGCTATCCACACAGTTAAAAGCCTTTGCATAGTTGATAAAACACAGATAGACATCCTTCTGGTATTCTCTACTTTTTGCCAGGATCCATCTGACATGAGCAATGGAAGCTAACCATAGTGATTAAGTGGAGAGTGGGAGTATAGTCTAGACAATTCAGAAGCCTGTCAGTGCCGTTGAATCCAATGACTTTAATGACATTAATGATTAAGGAAAAAAATAATTGTATATTATAAACAAAATACCCATTTTCTTTGCCACTCAAATTTATTGATGAGATTTCAGGCTTACCTCTATATCTGAGTTTTGATACCTGTAGTTATAATCCTAGTTGAGAATAGGGTTTCTTTGTAATGTTAATCAGGAAATATCAGTGTAGGATGTGTTTAGAGGCAGTATCTGGAGATGTACAGGAGCCAATAAGTAAGGGAGCGGGGATGAGAGAAGATAAACTCTGCCTCACAAAGACGGTCAAGAAGCCAAAGAACAGAAGCAGCTAAGGAGACTAGGATCTTTCCCTAGAGCCGGCAGAGAGAGAAAGCCTTCTCCTGGAACCCCTGAATTCAATCTTTAGGGAGTTCTGGTGCCCTAGTGTTAAGAAGCTGCACTGCAATTCCAAAAGCACATGGTTCAAATCCACTAGCTGCTCCATGGGAGAAGGACGAGCAGTTTCCTCCCATGCAAAGAACTGCCTCTGAAAACCCACTGGAGGGTCGCCTATGGGTCGGTTCCGATTCGATGGAACACAACAACAGCAGCATTGGGAGCTCTAGTGGCTTAATGATAAGGACTTGAATTGCCAGGCACTCTGCGGGAGAATTGTGGACAACTTCTTCCCAAATGATTCACAGTCTCTGAAAACCAGGTCAGTTATGAGCCATTTCTAACCTGAGGGCACATAACAACAGTCTCCTAACCAGTAAGAAAGTAAATTTCTATTTGGTAAAGTCAGCCACTTTGGATGCTTCTATTTTAGTATCATTGGATAATTAAGACAGCATGGTTTCTTTTTTAAAACAAGCCATTCTTTTGGGGAGAGATCAGGAGATGATTTGACCTAAGCATAGAGAAAAACGTAATGTTTCTGTTACCAGAAATTTAGTTTATATTATCAGGAATTCAGGTGGGGAAAATGCATCAGATGCTGACCTTTAGTTTTTCAGTGAATCAGTTTTGCCAGACATTGACCACAATTTCATTTTCTTATTTATCTGAAATCTATGAGCCCTTTCACAAATTCAGTTTTTGTTTCAAGGATGAAAATATCCCCCCTTCACCCCCCCTGCTAAAAAAACCCGCAAAAAACCCAAACCATCTTTGAAGTTCACATTCTGTATTTCCACGACCTCAAATCATCAGCATCCAAAAGCTCTTGCTTTTATCCAAATACCTGGCAGGAACTCTGCCTGCATTAGAATTCTGAACTCAGTGTGATGGCTTTGCCCTTAATGAGCTTTGCAGTTAATTCTGGAGTGGCTTGATTCCTGCATCTCACTGATTGATAGTGATCTGGCATTTTAAAAAAAAGAAGGGACAAACCCTTTAGAATAAGAGACAACATTGCTTGGCAGGAAGAGAGAGGAAGAAGCACCTTGGCAGCCAACCTTGGCAGGTTGTAGAGATCTGCACAGACTTTACTTTTCAGAGTTCAGAGTATTTCATGTCTACTGGCCTCCTCGTTATTGTTGTATACCATCGAGTCAAAACTGACATAGTCTGAAACCCTCTAGTGGGTTTTCAGAGGCAGTTAATCACATGGGAGGAGCTTGCCCATCTGTGTCTGCAAAGCAGCTGGAGGCCTTGAACCATGTGCCTTTGGGATTGCAGCACAGCTTCTTGCCACTAGGCCACCAGCGCTTCCTGTATTTCATGTCCACTGGGCTCATGTTGTTGTTATGTGCAGTTGAGTCACCTGAGACCAATAGTGACCCTAGGTACAGCAGCTCTGAAGCCTGCCCTGTCCTGAACCAGTCTCATTAATTCTCACACACCAATCCCCATTTCTCCAGTTACTGTATCAATCCATCTCATCCGAGGTCTTCCTCTCTTGTGCTGTCCCTCCACCCTTCCGAGCATGATGTCCTTCTCCAAGGACCAGTCCCTCCTGGCCACATGCCCAAAGTATGTGAGATGGATATTCAAAATCCTAGCCTCTCAGGAGAGACTTGGTTTCACCCTCTCCAAGATAGACCTATTTATTTTCTTGACAGTCCATGGTATGTTCAAGACTCTTCCCCAGCACCACAACTCGAAAGCATTGATTCTTCTTCTGTCATCCTTAGTCGTTGTCCAGCTCTCAGATGCCTAACTTTGATTGCAAAGATCATGGCCTGGATCAGGTGTATTTTAGTCTCTAGAGTGACATGCTGCTTTTCAGTCCTCTGGAGAGGTCCCTGACAGCAGGTTTACCTAAAGCAATTAACTTTTTGATTTTCTGACTGCCAATGCCAAGAGTGTTGTCTGTTAGTTTATAGACTAACTGTTAGTTATTATTTCAATCATTGTTTCCCATAGGATCTGCAAAGACACTATTTCCAAATAGCATTCTGAGGCCTGGATGGACATGAAAATTTGGGGTACACTATTCAATTCATTCAATTCCAGACTGCAAAATTTGGTAAAAATTCTCAATTTTTTCCTCTTTGGCACTATATGTAGGAGCTTATATTTGAATAATAGTCATGTTAACGGATATTCTCTGTATGTGTATGGATATTATCCTATAACTCACAAGATTGTACTTCAGAATAGAACTTGAAACTGACTTTTTTTTTCTATGACTGCAACACCATTCTTCTTCTGTTTTTCATTCCCTACATAGTATATCATATGATTATCTGATTCAAAGTGGCCTTAGCTGGTCCACTGCATCTGACTAATGCCCAGTATGTTGATAGTCATGCATTCCATTTAGTTTTTAACAAGATCCAGTTTTCTAGCATTCAAGTTATGTACATTTCACATCCCAATTGTTAAATGATGTTTGTTACTGGGAAAATCTGCAGTTAGGGACCTTTCCAAATTATTGAGGAGTAGTGATATCACAGGACTAAGGAGAATCTGATTCAGGCCATGATCTTTTCGATTACTAGCTATGAATTGAGATCTGGACAATGAATAAAGATGACAGAAAAAGAATTGATGCTTTTGAGCTGTGGTGTTGGAGAAGGGCACTGAACATCCCATGGATGGCCAAGAAAACAAATAGATATGTCTTGGAGAGGGTGCAGCCGGAGTGCTCTTTGGAGGCAGGAATGATGAGGCTTCACTTCTCATACTTTGGACATATTGCTAGGAGGTACTATTCCTCGGAGAAGGACATGATGCTGGAAAGAGTAGAGGGTCAGTGAAGGAGAGGAAGACCCTCAACCAGGTGGACTGACACAGTGACTGCTGCAATGCGCTTTTGTGTGTCACAAAGTATGAGGATGGCACAGGGCAGGGCTAGGTTCAGATCTTTAGTTCGTAGGGTCGCTATGAGTCGTACTCGACTTGATGGCACCCAGCAACAGTCAAGTGAGCGCACTCAGCAATGATTAAATAAAGCAATACTCACCTTAATTTATGTTCAATGAATTTTTTTTTTTAAAAATTTCAGCAGGTGACTTTGGCTTAATGGCAGAGAATGGCACTGTGGTGACAGAATTTGTTCTGATGGGATTCCAGCTGCAAGCAGAGCTGCAGATGGGCCTCTTCTTTGTGTTTCTGATTTTTTACCTGGTCACCATTGCGGGTAACCTGGGCATGATCCTACTGATTCAGAGTGACCCTCGCCTCCAGACTCCCATGTACTTCTTTCTCAGCCACCTCTCCTTCTTGGATATTTGCTATTCCTCTGTAATTGTCCCTCAGTTACTTAAGACCTTGGGAACCGATAAGACAGTCATCACCTATGAATGCTGTGCCACCCAGTTCTTCTTTTTCACGCTTTATGCTAGTACTGAATGTTTCCTCTTGGCCGTGATGGCCTATGACCGCTACGTGGCTGTGTGTAACCCTCTCCTCTATGCCACCGCCATGACACCGCAGACCCGCCTGGGGCTGGTGGCTGGGGCGTACGCTGGCGCACTGGTCAACTCTGTGATCCGCACTGGATGTACTTTCTCCCTGTCCTTCTGTAAGTCCAACCACGTGGACTTCTTCTTTTGTGACCTGCCACCCTTGCTGAAGCTCGCCTGTAGTGAGACCAAGCCACGAGAGCTGGTGATCTACCTCTTAGCTTTTGTGGTCATCACCATCAGCATTTCAGTGATTCTCGTCTCCTACCTCTACATCATTACGGCTATTCTGAGGATTCGTACATCAGGCGGGAAAGCTAAGACCTTCTCCACGTGTGCTTCTCATATGATGGCAGTGGCTCTCTTCTTTGGGACTCTCATTTTCATGTACCTGAAAGGCAACGTGGGCCAATCTCTCGAGGAGGACAAGATTGTGTCTGTGTTTTACACTGCGGTTATCCCCATGCTCAATCCAATGGTCTACAGCTTCCGAAACAAGGAAGTGAAGGAGGCTCTGAAGAAGGCTGTCAACAGGAGGAAGGTTTCCCAAATAGCGTAAGACCCGAGTTCCTTCAATTCAGAACTTCCTGCAAATCATCCTTTGTGCTTTTTTCCACACAAGCCAGATCTCACAGTTAAAAAGGGCTGCTGAAGTAGAAAAAGATTTAGCTCTCACTGTTGTCTTTATTCACTTTGTAACCTTGAGCCAGAAACTCTCTGGCTCATTTTCCCCATCAACAAAAATGTTTTCCAGACTCTGATTGGAGATAGATCAAGAGTCAAAGGACTTTAAAAATATTAATATGCTATAAAATGGAAGACTATTTATCATTTTCTTCTTGCCCATATTGCTGAGTGTTTTCTCAGCTACTGGAATTCTTTTCTACTCATTTTTACACAAATTTTTTTCTAAGCTTGTTTTATGCAAAAGAATAGCTCTTTGTATGTGTCAGAGACAATAGAGTTGGTACAGGACAGAGCAGGTTTCAGGGCTTTTGTACATAGGGTTACTATGAATTGCAAGCTACTCAATGGCACATGACAGCAACAACAATAATAACAATAACAACATTCTTTGCTTGTGGGTCATGGGGTGAAAATCAACCTGGACCAAAAGAAAACTTTTCTAAAGGTTGAACCAATCTTTGTCTTAGAAAATACATGGATATAAACAGAGAGAGAAAAAGTAAAGTGGGTAAAGGATATATAAACAAGGTTGTTGTTGTGTGCCATTGAGTTGCCTATGACTCACAGCGACCCTATGTACAACAGCCCTAAAGCCAATCTTCTTGTCTCTCACACACCTACTCCCATTAACCAAGTCACTGAATCAATCCATCTCATCAAGGGTCTTCCTCTCCTGTACTGTCCTTCTACCCTCACAAGCATGATGTCCCTCTTCAAGGACTTACCTCGCCTTACAACATGTCCAAAATATATCAGATGAAACTTCAGAATCCTTGCCTCCAAGGAGCAGCCTGGTCTCACCCTCTCCAGGATGAACTTGTTTGCCCATGGTATATTCAATACTCTTCTCCAGCACCACAACCGAAAGACACCAACTCTTCTTCTATCATCCCTAGTCATTGTCCAGCCTTCCGATGCATAGCAAGTAATTGCCAAGACCAGGGTGCAGTGCGGGGGAACAACACGTGCAACAGGAGGTGACTCAGTTGACCCTGCACCACACAGATATGAACATATAAACAAGGAGATATTAAAATAGAACATGTCAGTTCACTTTCCAAGATGATGGAGGACACTTGAAAAGATGTAATAAAGTCAAGATACTATAGAATGAGAGAAAGATAAACTGACTTGCATTATATTATTTAAGACATTTTGTTCATGGTCTAAAGCCAAACTAAACCTCACATAAAACTTTAAAAGTATATCTTGATCACCAAAGGTCAGAAGCTCTCTATTTTATGGCTGAAGCACTGTTCACGGACCATCTGCCTCAATTAGTTCAAGCTATTTTCTATTCTTCAGTAATGAAAACCACCATCTACTTTCATCTTCTCTAGGACATTTACTTGTCAGAAGACAGATAACACTGCATTGACTGCCCCTTCCTTATGGTCTGCTGGAAATATTATTTGAGAAATATTTTGAGAAATACCGATTATGTGTCAGATATGACCCAAAGGTCTGGGAATAGAGTAATAAATAAGATACAGTGACTCCTCTCATGGAGATTAGGATCTGGGGCAGAGAGAGACATTAAACCATTGCACAGTTAATTAATTTTTACAATTTTTTGAAAGGTAGAACAGGAGCAGAGGCAAAGGGTATTGTTAGACTGTATAATGGGATCTTAACCTACTTTGGTGTGGTCAAAAAAACTTCCCAGGGAACTACTTAAACGTAACCCGAGATTTAGATCATCCACAAATACGGAAGAGTCATGGGTTGGGAAGATCATTTCACTTAGAAGGACCTGCCAATGCAAGGGCCTGAGACACACACTGCCTTACAAAACTAACAGGTGACAGAGTGCTGCCGTGAATTGAGTGAGGGGTTCTTAGAGTGAGTTGCAGCTGGGGAATTCAGAAGGAACTAGGTCACAGAGAGCTTTGTAGACTTGCTTAGGGACTTGAGGACTTTACTGAAAGAGCTGGATGTGAAACGATCAGATCTGCACACTAAAATGGTCCCTCTGGCTGCAGGGTGATGGGTGGGCTAGGAGGCAGTAGTGATCAAAGAAAGCAGACAGAGAAACAACAAACGTGAACACTGAGAAACAGCAAATGATTTATCCCAGAGCATGGGAAGTGATTTCCAAACAATGTTATATGCATCACCTTAGAATATTGTGCTAGAGAAATCTAGAAAATATATGACCAGAATATTGATCTAAAAAGGATGTTTGGCACAGTGATGAAGATAGTTTTGGTGGTATCTGCCTTTTCATTGGTGCTTTCTTCCCCTGTAGGTCAACTTTCCTCCAACATTGCACAGGTATGGCCAGTGTTTTCCTGGGACTCTAGGTGGTGATAGGGTTTACATTCCGGAGTACTAACTGATAGACTAGTACTTGCCTGCCAGGTAACTTGTGGTCACTGTGAAGCTGAACTCTGCGACACTGATGTGTCAAATGTGATAACGGTTACACATGGTGGATGGTGTTTGGTGGAGCTCCCCAGCTGAACAAGCTTGGAAGTAGGAGTGGTATCCACTTCTGTAAATAGCTTGTCTCCAGAAACCCTACGAACCTGGAGAAAGGATAAAAGTCGTGCATGCAAATGTCAAGGACTTTTGTTCATAGGGTCATTATGAATCATCTACGACTCAACGGCACTTAACAACAACTGATAGGTTTGTGGGCCAGCCTGGAGACTCCACTCACCGAGTTGGCTCCTATCACCTGATGGCAGTCACATCTTGATGGTGGTCATGTAAGGGAAGTTTTTGGGGTCATGTTAGATGTGTGTTACTGTTTCCCCCACCTCCCAAAATGGGGGAAGACCAATGGTGGAGGCCTACTTAAGGGTGGGTCTTTAAAATCCCATAGTGAGAAGTTGAATCTGTGGCCAACTTGGATTTATTCATACAATTTATTAATTTTAGAACCAATATTCTTTAGGTGATAGAGTAATCTCCTGTCTATCTCCTGTACTGAATAACTTGGAGTTGCTGTGATATTGAACACTGTGCCATAGTGGTGTCAAATACCATAATGGTTACCCATCATGGACAATGTTTGGAGGAGCTTCCAGATTGATTCAGGTTAGGAAGCAGGAATGACATCCACGTCCTCCTAAACTAGATGCCTCTGAAAACTCTCTACACTCTATAAATGTACAGAAACGATGTCAGTTATAGAACAGAGTTCAGGTCTTTTGTGTAAGGGTCACTATGAGTCTTATTCGACCTGATGACACTTAATCACTGCTAAAATGAGACTAGTGTTGGTATATCTGGAGGAACATTCTTCCACTTTGTAAATCACTCTTTGTCAATGTGCCGTATGAAGTATCCTGGGTTTGCTCTGATGCTGAACCTTGTGCCATCGGGGTATCAAATGCCAGAATGGCTTCCCAATGTGGACAGTGTTTGATGGAGCTCCCAGTTGTAGAAGGTTTGGAAGCAGAAGTGGCATCCACTTCCTAAACCACATGCCTCTGGAAACTCTATGAACTTGGAGAAATGACGATAGTTATGGAAAAGCATTAGGTCTTTTGTTCATAGAGTTGCTATGAGTCGTGCTTGACTCTATGGCAATCAACAACAACAATAACAACAGTTGATACCTTGTCAATTTGAGTCCATCTAGAATCCTGACAGTGTAGGTCATGACCTGTTGGGCTGCTAACCAAAAGGTTAGTAGTAAAACAACCAACCAATCAAGCAACCAACCAAAAGGTTGATAGTTTGACTCTACCAGTCACTCCAAAGAAGAGGGAGCGAGAGTCTTCTCCCACAAAGGTCTTGGATCCTTGGCCTTGGGAACCCCATGGAGGGTCACAGAGTCAGGTTTAACTCAACAGCACTGGGTATGGGTTTGGGGTGAGAGCCCTGGTGGCACGGTGCATTATGTTCTGGACTGCTAACCAAATAGTCAATGGTTCAAATTTACCAGAAGAGAAGAATGAAGCCATCTCCTCCTAGTAATATGTACAACTTGAGAAACAACCCAGTAGAAGGTCACCATGAGTTGGAGTGTACTCAAGGATACTGGGTTTAGTTTCCTCTGGGCCAATTTGCCTTACAGACAATGGCTTTAAGAGTTCATCCTTTGCAGGGCTGCTTGCAAGCAAAGTCCAGAAAAAGCTTCCACGATAGGGAAAAAAGGCGAGATGGGCAAAATGCGAGACGGGATTCGCTGGTTTTGGTAGTGACAGGACCTACCACATTTTCTACGACTCTGCTTTGTAAATGGCAACCAGCTTTATACAGAAATGATCTTTTGTACCCACACAGTGTTTGATGGATAGAAGAGCACTTCAGACATTCACTATGTGGATAAGAATAAGGTGTGTGTGTGTGTGTGTGTGTGTGTGTGTAAAGAAGAGACCACCATGTGATTAAAGCAAGAAAGCACATTAGAGAAAATGGCACTTATGTTGAATTTCCAATTACATATGTTAATAAACGAGTGAAAACATTGACAAATTACCTCGTATATGCTAGGTTCTGCACGAAAAGATTTCACTTATCTTATTTGAAGGTATCATTTTTTAAGTGAATTGCATGTGTAATCTTATAGAAACTGGAATCTACTTAAGTAATAATAGACTCTCTTCTTCCCTCCCCACCTCAGTTTGTATGTGTATCCCTTTTAAGAACCAGATTTCGGAATGATAACATTTCAATTGTAATTCTTTGACCTGAATCTGTCAAGAATGACTTGAAGCAAAGGAAAAAAGCAATCCCTCAGATTCTGAACTGACTCACTTAACGTAGTACACCAAGAGGCCACAGTAGCATATTCTTGTTATCTTAACTCACAGCAATATTTGTATCCTGGGATTCCATTTCCCATATAAAATTCACGTGAATGAGATTATATGTAAAGCCAAATTAGCGAGGTTATCAACATAAAGGCATGGAACAAAA